AACGTTTGCAGAAAGCCAGGTACGTTGTTGTCAATGTCTGCTGAAGCCCGTGCTGAAACTCCACCACTAACACCCCAACGCCCGACCCTCAACCCCTGAAATGCCCCCCCCCCAACCCCCCAACCCCCCAAACGAAACTTCTCTGTTCAAAGTTTTCTTTGTGGATTCGGGGAGATCTCGGTGAGCGCAGTCCAACCATGTTTTCAAAAAAATAAAATAAAAAAAAATTGACCCACTTTTGGACCCAACCGGAATTCCGATTGGACCACCGGGGGTCCAACCGGCCGGTTGCCAGCACAGCCATGATACATAATGTATTCCCTTCAAATTGTTCATAGAGTCATAACAATGATCCCCTCCACTTTTTAAAGTATATTTTCATTAGCTATCCAACAACGAAGTGCTTTCAGCACCCCCCCCCTCCCCCCCCCGAAAATATAAAACATTCAAGTCTCCCTCAGACCAGTCTCCCCAACATTTTTGAGTCCCGAGAAATGCCCACAGTTCCCAAAGGACCATTTATCCCCCCCCCCCCCTCCCCCCCCCTCTCCTCTTGCGCAGGGGCCATGCTAATCTTTTCTCTATCGTTCTGATTTTAACAGATGTCTCGAAGGACTGCCAAATGGTCATATTATATGTGTTCCTTTCAAAAAAATTGTCCATAGGCGTCTCAAGTCCTCAGAGTACGTATGTACGGTCAAGCAAACAGTGCCCATGTTGTATTGGGGTCAGGGAAATGTGTCTCCACAAAACTATTTAAAAAACTGGCGGCACCTATGGTTGGCCCTCTTTGCTGTGACACAGCAGGACCACAACGTTCAGGCTTGCAAGGCTGTGGTCATTAGCTAGCGCCCTCAGACTTTTGACAAAATAGGCTGATGGAAACTTCTGTTTAATGCAATAGATGGATTCCGGAAAATTGGAGGACAAATGGCAGCTGCTCCAGCTCATCATGACAACCACAACAACAATGGCAACCACAACAAGACGATAATGACGATGACAACGATCATCATGATCATGATCATGACGATAACGACAACAACGAGGACGACGAAGACAACAACAACAACGACAAACACGACGACAACTACGACGACAACGACGACGACAAACACCACGACGACGACGACAACGATGATGATGATGATGATGATGGCAATGTTAATTTGCTTCCTTCGCCTTTGGAGAGGTCCCTTGGTCTTTGACAATTTTATCATTTGGATTTTGAGCTGTGTAATTCTATTTTATTTCTTTTTGTGTTATTAAACTCATTATTATTTTATTTTACTTATTATTATTCAGTTCCGGCTCATCATTGTGCGTCATTTGTGTCTCACATGCTTTCATTGGATGATAGCATTTCTCCTTCAAGGTTTTATTTCAATCTTGCTTTCATTGCAATGGTGAACAACTTCTCTTCCGTTGAATCACAAGTTGCATCATTTCCCTAGCAGTCTTTCTTCTTTCATCCCCCTTCCGTGCGAGTGATCAGCATACTCACCAGGTTATTACAGACATCTAGTGTTATAGCCGTGCTATCGAATATCAGCAGATTGGACTCGAGGAACCCCGCGAGTGCTCTAACGGACATCTCCTGAAAAATCTCAGTTCCTGCAACAAATAGCAGACAATCGCACAGACACAGACAAAGTTAACAACACCATTCTCAAGGCTCTTCTGCAATGTGCAAAGTGTTCATGTTTTTTCCTTCTCCATCCCCGAATTTGGCCCCCCATCGAAGGTCTCCCCCTCCACATTAGCTTCATACCACGCATTAATTGAAATCAGAATCAGAAAGCGTGGAGCATGAGCAAGAGCGCCAGAAATTCTCTCTCATTCTGTCTGCGTTGCATGGGACATGTGTCCCGAATCTGTCCCGAAAGGGTCCCAAACATGTCCCAAACATGTCCCAAACGTGTCCCAAATGTGTCCCAAACGTGCACCGAGGACTCCCAAACATGTCCTACACACATTGCAGCCTCAGCATTGATGCCCACCCTTCAACAGCCATTGCAATGCCCACCCTGCGACACACATTGCAGATAGGAACCATCTCTCTTTCGCAGCGAGCCACTTCGAGGCCGAAAGGAAATAAGTTGTCTTTTCTCTGCACAGCTCCGCGTTGACATGATGATAGCGCCTCGGAACGACAAGACAAGAAGCCTTTGTCTCCTCTATGCACATCTGAGTCGGTCTAACCACATTCGCAGTCGAGATCAGTCGCCATACTCTCTTGTTTCCCCAAACAAGACACCCCATCGGCATGACTGTATATAATGAAAAACACAGTAGTACTCGTTCTATTTCAGTCCAAACACAGTCAGGTAGCAAGGGCATTCCGTTCAAGATAAGGAGGTACCAGTCCTGTGAATCGATACCCCGACTCTGCTCCATGAACCACTTCGCTTAAACCACAACTACCAAGGGGAAACCTGGCGCATTGCCAGGAGGCCTCCTTCCCCCTCCCCCTTTCTTCAGCTTCCCTCGTTGAATCAAAATCCTACAGCATTGTCCTTTTCCACGTTCTGCAAGTCAGGCCTGGATTTCCAGGCGTTTCACAAAATGACAGCGGTGGCTCTTTTCTTTTTTTTTTACCTATGGGCTATACCAGCAGCAGCAGCAGCAACAACAACAAGAACTAAAACAAAAACAACAACAATAATGAAAGAAACAACAACGGCGAAAGCAAAAATAACGACAACGACAAAAATAACAGCGCCAAGGACAACAATAGCACCAACGACCACTACAATAATAACAAAAACAACAGCGACCACCACCACAACGACAAAGACCCCATGATGAGCACAACAACGACAAACACCCCAACAATAACCCTGTAACGCCACAAACAACTTACCAGATGGGCCAACAACGACAAAGACCCCAATAATAACCCTGTAATGCCACAAACAACTTACCAGATGGGCCCACCAAGAGAATCCTGGGACTCAATGTTCCTAGATCCGTTGTGTACTTCAGGTAATCAGGCTTCTTCAGAATGATATATGCAGAGTCGATGAGCAGCTCCTTGAAGCTCTCACTTCATTCATGAAAACCAGGAAATATACCCCCCCCCCTCCCCCCAGGAAAAACACACACGAAAAAACAAAAAGAAAAAAAAACAGAAAAGCAAGATCAACACACATTTCAATGGTGAGATAAAGAATGGCATGAATGATAAGTTCAAATTACAAAAATCAGAGGCAGGAAATACAGAGAAAAAAAAAGAAAAACAAGGTCCACATCCTCCTCATTTCCCTCCCATCCCCTCGCCCCCCTCACACGCAACCCTCCATCACAGAGGCATCAGAGAGTCTTTCCCAAACCGTATGTATACGTGCGGGAGATGCTGAGCTCTCAGGGAGATCCTTAGTTGCTGGGCCCATTTCCTCACCGGCATTTTTCTGGAAGCTGATCCACTAAATCTGTGAGTGAAAAGCATGACTAATAAGTTTCTTTGGCGCTATGATAAAAGCGCCTCTCGAACACAGCTCAGCAACTTAGTGCTGCAAGAAGACAGCACTCACTCACTGGCCTGCCCAAGGGAGGGCAGATAGTGTACTCCAATCATAACTGACACTGGCAAGTTATCACGAATCCTTACTTTTCTATACTAATAATAATGAAAGAGCCGGAAACCCATAATACTAACAACGTGGCAACTTGTTAATGATGGTCTTGTTCCTAGGGTAGGAAGATGCATGCACATATGCATGTCTGTATTCATGCATTGCTCGTTTGTTTGTACGTACGTATGTACGTATGTATGTACGTACATATGTATGTATGTATGTATGTGTATATGTACATATGAATGCATGTATGTATGTATGTATGTATGTATGTATGTATGTATGTATGTACATACATATGTATATATGTAGTATGTATGTATGTATGTATGTATGTATGTATGTATGTATGTACACATGCATGCAGCCATAGCCGAGCTGTGCTGCTGTACGCTGGATGGGGCGCATGGTGGTTCTTGGGTGCATGTGGCATCTGTGAGTTGGGGAACGAGGTTGTGAGTGATACGAGAGGCATACCTGGTGCTTGAAGCGTACAGCATTGGTCGAGATCTGCTCGTACTTCGGGGAGCTGTTGACGGCATCGGCGGCATTGTAGAATAGGCTAGATAGGATCTGCCATCTGTAGTCTGAGCGTCGAGCACCAGATAGGATATCGACATTGGTTCTTCGTTGATGATGATGAGACTATTCCAGCATTGTCAATTACGAGCTTTTGCTGTGTTCTTATTTGGTGGAACTCATGATGCAATTCTGCTATTGGTTCGAGGTCACGACTATCTGGTCTCATATGTATGATGTTGTTTGATTTCTGAAGTTCGCTATCGCTCATTTTCCTTGCAGATGCATGTATGTATGTATGTATGAAGGCATACATCCATCATGATGCATGTATGTACGTATGTATGTATGTATGTATGTATGTCTGTATGTATGTATGTATGTATGTATGTATGTATGTATGTATGTATGTATGTGTGTACTTTCTGTATGTATGCGCATATGTATATGCACGTATGTATGTACATAGTAGCGGCAGTGTGCTTATGTGCATGTGCATGTATCTAGGTATGGTGCACCAGCACAGGTACGAGAGTCGAGCAGTGAGGAAACAGGCAGCAAGATGAAGTACAATATGCTATTGCATACCATAGATATTGGCTTACCGTGTTGCGACTCTTTCATTTAGGACATCTTGTGTGTTTGCTTGCACATTGAGCGCATTGGATTCTTCAACTCTTGCAGACACATCTGTGGATTGTGTGTACCCAGCATGCGTACTTCCACTTCGGATGGGTCCGTTTCTTCCTTTCTGGAAGGTAACGTCTAAAGGCTGTGCGCATCCACCTTGTTCTGCGTCCAATCTTGACTGATAACATGACAGACTTCTGACCCTCCAGATGCAATAGTTGTGCATTTGATCTGTGGACAAGGTGCGTTCTCTGGTACTTTGTAGACGGACGGACAAGATGTCTTGACAGACAGACAAGATGCACTCTCTGCTCACTGACAGATGAACAAGATACATTCTCTGGCTCACTGTCAACGGACGGACAAGATGCATTATGTGTTCCCCGACGGACAAAACGAGATAATTGGAAAACTCGCCAGGTCCAGACATGACAAGGATGCCAAATTGAGAGGTCTTTCTCGATTCTGTGGGGCGGTGGTGCATGGCCGTTCTTAGTTGGGGGAGCGTTTCATCTGGAAAAAAAAAAAAAAAAAAAAAAAGATAAGATTCATTCTATGTTCATTGACAGATGGACCAGGTGCATTCTCTGTTTATCGACAGAAGGACCAGATGCATTCCCTGTTCATCGATAGATGGACCAGATGCATTCTCTGCTCATCGCCGAACAACACAAGATACATTCTCTGCTTCTGCTCCTGTGAGGAGTGGCCATGTGTCTGATCAGCATCGTCCATTGAAGTCATCAAAAGTCCGGTCGCACTCATTATTATCAACCCTACCTATGTAAGACTTGTTTCCTTTTGTCGCTGAGACGTGTTGGATCGTGAAGCCATATCCACTTCTTCTATCTTTCTCCCTTCCGAAATTGTATCTAACAATTAGGTACAAAAAAGAGATCCCGGCGGCCTCCTGGGGGTATGCTTCGCCTCCTGCCTGGTTGTGGACATAATCAGTTCTTTCCACCCCGCGCCAGGTGTAAGGAGCTTGGGTATTGATTGCCGCACAGAGAAAAGATAGGTAGGTATAGACCCATAACCTCAGGATAGCTTAGCTCTAGCTAGTAAATTTAACCTTCACCTTTGTAGGTAGCAGGTGGTGCCAATACGTTCAACGTAACCTTAGACCCTAGCCCCCCAGATTCTGAAGTAGAGGTGAATCGTTCCTTAATGCATTGTAGGGCTTGTAGATACGATATAGATACGGGAGTTAATATGAGGCAATAAGAGAGAAGAGAATAGGATAGGTACAAAAAATACATTTGTGCCCCCGTACGAGGAGAAGACCGGTATTTTCCAGAAAAAAAAGGAAAAATGAAAAAACTTCAAAACAGAGAAGAAATGCATATAGTTCGGAGTGGGTGGTATTCCATCCTGTTCATATACCAATGATAAGATCCAGCCTTGAGCAACCTTTAGGTGTTTTGGGGGTGAACACAAACGTCTGTGCCAAATCATTCACTTGCCACCTCAGAACAATATTCCCAGAAGGAATAGAAGCATTTCTTTTCTTATTTGCAATAAACATAATTATGCTCAGATATTAAGGATTGGGAAAGAGACGGGGAGAGAGAGAGAGAGAAGAAAGGGAAAAGCGGCCAGATATATCCAAGGGAAGTCGTATTGTGAGAATGCCTTCCGCCAGTAAACACCTACCACTGTTATGATTTTGCCTGTCGGTTGTGTGAAGACCAACACTCACTCACATAGACTCCCAGGTATGCCCATACATACACAGAAGGAAGGGGAGAGGATAGGAGTATCACACCACATAGGGAGAGAGAAACACAGCGTGGACTTGACCATGCGATATGACAGGGTACACTGAAAGTGCAATTCACTCCACTCAATCCTCACAACCAGTCATAAAGTAAAGTCGAGTAGATCACATCCACGAAACAATGAAACGATGATAGTCTGAACCCAGTATCAATGCTGTTTACTAAACTCAAAGTCTCGAATTGTCAGGATGACCTCAAAACTATGATGCGCTGCTCAGATATGAGCAGCACTTCACTCCCCAACACTGATGAACCGCTATTACTACCCCCGAGTCCCTGTAACATCAAGCACCACCCAGATACAGCCTCCAGAGGGAAGCGCCGCCCTGAAACAGACCTCTGAGGCCAAGCACCACCCAGAGGATGAAAAAGAAGACCAGCACCACAATGTCTGATGATGACGAAGTGTCGAACGACTTCCCCGATGGAAGTCTGCAGCTGCGCCACCTCTCCTGACAAGATGATCTCTGAGGAAGAAGTTGCAGCTATGGCTGCAACGCCACAACCTTGTAACCCTACCCCGGAGGAGGGTCCAGCAGGGCACCAACTTCCCTCGCCACCAGCAGACCTCGAATAGCCCAGACCTCTGTACAGCCCCTCATGTTGACAGAGTACAGCGCAGGTCCCAGCTATGGTCGCCACTCCGCAGGTCTGGCTATGCTTGTCTCCCTCAACGCTGAGCCGTCACCACTTCCAGTTCATGCGTTGTGCAGCAGCGACGTACACGGTACCAACTGCCAAAAAGCCCTGAACCGATCTGCCCATCCTATCTATAGTCTACTCTAGCCTAGACTCGACATAGACCGGACTGACCGACCGGTACCGTTTATGCCTCGACCTCTAGGGCCTCTCCCTACCCGGCTATAGGCTATAGGACCCCTATCAACTCAGGCCCATAGGGCCTGTCTGTCCTAGGGCAGTCGGGTCTGCTATTCGCAGATAGGTTAGTTGTAGGAAATTCGGTTAGTACGGGCCTATATTTTTCCCGAATTTGCAGATATGTCCCTCTAGGAATTCCCTACGGGCAGGTCTCGCGGTTAGCCCTCAGCCAAACAAAAATCGTGAATCTAATATAGTACAGCCTCGACATCAAAGGCTACAAACTGTCAGAACCAGCAAGTCATTGCAAACCTACCCTCCCCCGGAGTGAGGACCTCCGAGCCAGGGGCGTAGGCGTGCAGAGCGTCGAAGGGGTTCTCCCTTTTGCGCTGCCTCATATTTGAGGACGACAGACTTTGCGGCTTTAAGAAGTTCCTTGCGAGTAAACTAGCGATCCTCTGTATGCGGCTGGTATGAAAACTTCACAAGGTACTTTTTGTCTAGGTCTGTACCTGACTCATCCTCAATTGACCCCACCTCATATCCCTTCCCAGGGATTGGGGGACCAAATTCAGGAGGCCTGTCTGGGAATGCATCAGCTGATGTAAACGGCAACAACTTAGATGCATGAAAGACAAGGTAGGTTTGTAGATGCAGAAGGGCATCCACTGTGTAGGATGGTCCAAAAGGATCAGTTCCCACTGTATCTAAGACCTTCCATG